GCATGTTGCTCAATGAGGTGAAAATAGCTTCAACTTTTCTTTTCTACCAGAAACCCTCTCAAAGTTTACACCTGCACCAGGAAGCTTACAAGAAGCATTTGCAAAGAGAAAAAAATCATTTATAGAGAGATCCTGCCAGAGACAGAAAGAAATAAGGAACAAAACACATGTTTTTAGAAATCCTGAAAACCAAGTGATTAAGACAACACTTTCTATAGGTAAGTTCCCCAAAACATTTGCATTCATTTGAGAAAGGGAATCTGGCTAACCAAATTACTTGTTCTCTGCTCAGGTTCACATGTGAGTGGCCTAAAAAGTAAAGTTAGAGTGTCACTTCCCGAAGACAGAAAGGCTGCACAGGCCCTCAAGCACCAAAGGACTCTAAGGTATATATTTTATGTGTGTGTGTGGGTGTGCTTTTGTTCACATTTCTTAAGTATCTGCCTTTGATTTCCACTTAAATTTCTTACAGGTTACACAATCAGTTACCTGAAGTAAAACGGCAAAAGGAAGAGAAAGCAAAGCAAGAAGCTTATGCCCAAAACAGAGCTAGAGCAAAAGAATTTCATAAGGCGAGTTAGGTACAAAGTGATTTTTCATGTCAAAAGTACACAACTGAAACTAAAAAAACTAAAATTTACTTTTATTCCCTCCACAGAAAACACTAGAGAAACTTCGAGCCAAAAATACATGCTGACTTTCTACAAAAAGTATAAAGGACTTTTATTATTTGTAACATAGGCACAATTATTTAAAGTTAATAAACTTTTATTTAAGGAATTTCACATGTTCTGAGTTCTTCCACTGCCTTAGTTCCTCCTGAGTTTGAGTCTTAATCATCTTATTCCCTAAAAAAGAAGAGTACGCAGTGGTTAAACTTAGAAAATTTACTTTCCCACCTCACCAATCACTGATGTAAGTAGCTAAATCATATATCTCTTCAGGACAAAATAGACACTATTGAGTGTTTATTACATCCTATGGAGAACTTCAATTTTCGGTCACAGCGTTAAGAGCTCCTGGTTTTAGTCCCATAAGCTCTCTTTGAAATGACCCATAAATTAATACCTTTTTCTAATGTTTACATACCTTTTTTGCTCAATCCTGATGTCATCTCAAGTCAGTCCTATATAATAGGAATAGAGATTATCATGATCACAAACTGTATGATAACTGAGGACTTTCAAGGACATCAAGCCCCAGACATCTAAAATGGCTGTCCATCAAATCTGATTCCCAAGGACTATTACAGAAATCTCCTACAGCTTGTGTTATATCTGTAGTGAACTGTGATCTAGCAATGTAAATCTAGGTTAGTAAAATGTTCCCAGTAGGCTGAATGCTATGCTACCAACATAGCAGAAAAAAAACCTATTGGGGAAATGTTTTGTGGTCATGTCCACGGCAAATGAGAAACTGCATTCTAAAAGCCTTGGTAATGACCCTTATACTTTGGTGTGGGGTAAGATAAAGACAATAACTTGCCACAATCCTTTTAGTTGAGCTTCTTTGATCTACACTTGAATATGGACATACTTCAAAAACTCTGCACCTATGAAAAAAGATTTTAATGTTCATATTGGACTAAATTTTTCAAAATACATTTAATTAGGGTCCAAAGTACCCTGACAACCAGTTCCCAACTAGCATACAATGAAAGTTCCAGGCTTGAAACTGAAAATTGGAATAAGCATCTTTTCAATCAAATAAATATTGGGAACAAATCTAATGTTAAAATAAGACTTAATCCATTTCCATTCATAAAACTCATAGGAAATGCACTATTTGGAAATGTGTTTCAGGGAATGCTTATCGTAGCTTTCATATTTATTATGTAGATGGATGTTCAGATGGCAATTTTTCATTCAGCTCATTCAGAGCAGTTGAACATTTTGCCCATCATCATAACATCATGCTGGTGAACTGTACAAACATAGCGGTCGGCCTTTTTAATGTCCAATTTTTTTTGTGGTAGTAATAAGCCACCAGGATGGGCTACTGTAATAAGTGAATAAATGCAAGGACATTAATACTGAAGTTTTATAAAGGAGCTTAAGTCTCCTGTAAGCTAGGAGGGAGTTTGAAGGAAAAAATTAAAATCTTACCTATAATCGTTGGGAACTAATTTCTTCAAGCAATTTACTTTAGGACTCTATAAATTGAATATTAAGAAAAACATTGTTATTGTTATTTTAGCAGGTGATGTAAGGTATACTATTCCTTAATTGTTTCTGAAATTCAAGTCTTATACTCCGCTCATTGAGCCTAACAAAAATGTTACAGGTCTCATTGTCATCACTGTAATAAGATTACTGTGATGGAAGCATAACCTGTGTCTCAATGTAGCCACATTAACAAATTTCTGGACACCGTACACAAAAACAGTGCCCATTTTCATATAGAATGAGGCTTTATAAAAGTTTCTCTCAAGCTTATGTATACACTATGCAAAAGGCTTTGACATCTGTAGAAGTAGTTCCTGCTGACACTTGCTATCAATAAAGGAAACAAACCCCTAGAAGCAACAGAAATAGAAAGGCTTACGTGGTTAGGGTCTGAGTAGATGGATCTGCCTGGTTTTCTAATATCAGACACCCTAGAAAGAGACAAGTATTAGTTCCTACTGAAGATTACTTATGTCTAACTGAACACTAAGAACTGTAAGAATAATGTCTCAATAAAAATACCAGGTTTAACATGCACAAAGCGAAGAAAACCAACGATGCCAGATACTGAATTTATATTGCACTGTCCTTTGAACACCCAGCAGGAATAAACTACTGAATGCAGATACCATGCAGTGCATTATGACTGAACTATAAACACTTCTGTTTTAAGTATCTGAGGATTAAATATCATTGTTGCAAATCCAGAAGCATGTTACCAGCTGACAAAACTCAAGAGGAATTGGGGTGGGGGGGAGGGAGATTAACCCAAGAACTTATATGCATTAACCCATGGACACAGAGTGAAGACCTAGGTTGGTGGGGAGGGTCAATGGGGGGGGAAGAAATTTTTTTTAAAAAGCGACTTTCCAGTTGTCAATGAGGCAACCATATTAATGCAATAAACTATAAACCTAAGTCACTATTATCTTTATCTTCTCTCTTTGCACTAGAAATAAAGGTTACCATTGTTCAAACTGTTATTAGGTGGAATTCCTTTGCTATTTTATCCAAGTCTGCATTACTAGGATGAACCATATGGAACGGTCCATTTAATAAAAGGGTGCAAAAAGGGTACATTTTCATTTTGTGCCCCTAGACATGCAGTCTCTTCATTCCCCCCCCCCAAACACACACCGATTTTGTATATAAATACAATTAGGGCAAATATCTTCACCAAGATATTGACAATTCTGCTTTATACCTAATGTATTAGTCACAACAGTAATGGAATGGAGTACAGCAGTCCTCGAATTAACATCCTTTTGTTCAAGGTGTCCTTATCAAGTTGAGATGCCACAGCAACTTCTCTCATCATTTAGCCTGTAGTCAAACTGGCTTCCTTTTATATCACTTCACTTATAGTTTCAGAACCTATCAATAGTGTTAAGGGAGGACTTACTCTACTCACAAATTGCATTTTTTCACAACTTTGAATCCTTAATAAAAAGAAATTAAATGTTCTACTTACCTCTACACATGAGTAAGTTAAAATCTTCACTCCTACAAATAAAACACCAAATAAAAGATTGATGAATGTGATTAAAAACTAAAACTTATACAGAGCTATATTCAGCTGTCAGAATTATGTTTTAGTTCATGTCTGTATCATTCAGCAGTTGAACAGTTAAATTCATCATCTGAACTGCAGTGGTACCCTAAAGTTGTCACAGTCACCAATTAAAACTTACCTAAGCTATCACTCCCTAGAATCGTACAGATCTTCAGGATATACAAAAATACCTAAGATTAAAAAAAATTAGATTATTAATTCTGTCACAGTTTTAGCAGCTGTCTTGTAATTCCTTCCCACAGATCTAACACGCAGTTCTGTGAATAAAGGAAACAACATATTTATTCTATGAGGCGTTTCCAACGATGTAAGTCTACAGAAAAAGACCCATCGGGATAGACCTCAATCATTTACACATTTTAAAAGGCATAAGCAAACCTAAGTCTCCATAGGAAGACAATGAGAACTGATCTGCTCCAACCATTTAAACTCAAAACTATAAAAATAGTCAAACATCTTCAAATTTGCAATAAAATTATCCCATAAAATTAATCACAAAGGATTCTAACAATGCTGCACAGAAAGTACATTCTGACCCTGCCCAAAAAAACATACAAAATGGCAAGTAGCTACTCTAGATAACCCAAAGGTGAAATATCCACATATAAATTGATTTCTATGAATTTTGGTACTGCCATCTTTCGCCTATGAAATTCCCAGATTACACAGCAAAGTTAACAGAATTTTTGCCTCAGAAATGAAGATCTATATAAAATAATCTTCCCCTTAGCTACTTGTTATCAAATATAAAAATACAGGAAAAGTTTTAATGTGGCTGTATTTATGTTCTTACCATTTGAAAACTTTATACCATCTAAACTTATGAAGTCGTGTCCTGTGTAGTCATTTCTAGTATTATAGTATTAAATCTACTTCTATAGCCCAACTGCCAGTTTTGGGACCCTTTCCTGCAAGTGAAGTGAAGCTGGCACAGTATCCCTATATAACGGTGATTCCCAAGATTCATTTTCTGAAATCGTGTCCTAATCAGAAGTTAAAAATTGGCAAAAAGTCATTTAATAATGAAACTTGTGGAGATTTATATTATCTGACAATGTGCTACATTTAAACAAATCTGATCCAAAAACTCACCTAAAGAGTTGACATAAATCCAGTGTTCTCAAGATAAAACCCTAATAAAAAAAAAGTCAACTTCGTTAGTGTTATCAACAGCAAAATAAAAATACTAAAGCAGTATGGTTGATATTTCCCTTATATTCTATGCTTTCTAAATTATTAATCCTACAGTCCTGGAACCAGTGTTTTAGGTATCATGTTCCTTCTTATATGTATCAAAACTCATACTGAGCAATGAGTTCTGGGTTGCAAAAGAGGCTTTATTTTTAGCACCCGTATGTAGTTTTTGTCCACAAATTACAAAAACAAACACAAGTGCTATTGTGAAATGCAGTATATTTAGCAATATAATTAGTAATATTTATGGCGACAAAAGACAATGATAGTTAATATTCCAGGCTGTTAAGAAGGGGAAATTATTCAATTCTTATCAGCACTGAACATTTGATAATAAAGGTCATTTTTGTCTGAATAAAACTGGATAAAAATACAGCAAGGGTTTCAGATATCCTAAGAAGGGTGACTTGTTGTCATTCATTAGTGGCAAGATTTTATTTTTAGGATTACAATCTCTATACTTTGATTCAGTGCTCAAATAATACCTTTACGCTCTTACGCGGACATAAACAAGTATAGGCAAAAACAGTGGGACCCTTTTAAAAATTTTATTTTTATTTAATCCTCTCCCGAGGACATACTGAAGAGAAAGGAGAGAAACATCGTTTGGCTGCCTCTTTGGAATACGCCAACTGGGGATCAAGCCCACAACCCAGGTTATGTGCCCTTTCCAGGAACCAAACCAGCAACCCTTCAGTGCACAGGATGACAACCAACTGAGCCACTGGCCAGGCAGTAGGACTTTATTATTGTGCAAAAGATTATTTCTGCTATGAAAGCCTCAAATTTTTTGTACATGCACAATTTCACTTCAATTTTTCTTAATTACTTCTTTAGCAGTTTCTTTCACAAATTTGTTCAGAGGTTCTTTTTATTTTCATCGTGGCAGCTTTATCACTGGACTGGCATATATATTCATATCATCTTTACTTTCTGTAGTTTCTTTTTCTCTAGTCTCTTTACCTTGACATTCATGTTCATATCTCCTTTTCAGGTCATTCTGTCTTCTGTCCAATGTTTTTGGACTTTGATACTCTCTTTTTAGACAAAGCAACGTCTTCAGTGTATTCTTGCTCTAAATATACGTTCATCTTCTTTGGTAATTCAGAACTTATTATGAAATAATTATTCTCCTGCATAAAAAATACCAATATTAAGCAATAACTAAAACTTTATTGCTTTAGTAATTACACATAACTGAGTTCTAGATGATTTCAACCTGGAGACATCTAAGATGTTAAAAATCCAATTAACTTTCGCTTTTATTCTCACTTGATAGCCCAGTAGCAAACCTAATAGTACTGAAAAGTCCATGTCACACTCAACTACCCAAAAAGCATTTTTATTCTTGCACTTCCTGCACCAAATGTATTATAGCCTTTCCAAAATTAAACAGGGACTGTAAGATGTAACTATTGGATAAAATTCTTCCTGTACCATCTGAGGCACCCTCCCAAAAGGAAACAGGATAAAAATGTCACTTACCACCAATTTGATATCACATTCATCATCACGTCCAAGATTTGTAGCAACCTCATCTTCTTCTCTGCAATATTCAAAATATCAGATGACTAAATCCTCTATAACCCAATAGTATATTATGTAGTTATTACACACAAAATAGCTGTACTAGTCAAGGAGGAAAATTACACTGTCATGTATAACACCCAAAATTGGCTCTCATGTGCCAAGCTCATAGCTCAACTGTAATAACCCAGATGGCCTATTGTATCTTTGCTCCCATCATTACTAAAGTATGAACAAATTAAAAGCATAAGGATGAATGAGCATTAATAAACAATTTGACATGATTAAACTTACGCTGACTCTTCAATAGGAGAGATCGATCCATCATCATCCAAGTATTTATATCTACGACTATCAAGGTCTTCTTTTTCTAGATCTTCACCAACATTCATCTGATTTAAGGATTCCTTGAGATGGTATTCATACTTCAGTTTTTCAAGGTAGTTGAAAAATCCTCTTGCCACTGCTTGCTACAAATCAAAAAAGTCACAGCCTTACAAAATAACACTCTCCTCCACCCAACAAGAGGTGTGTTCCAAAACAGCAAGGACCCCCTTACCAAGAGCTCTCAGTGATCTTGATTTAACTACTCTGCCATATGCAACTCATGTAATACAACAAATGCTGATTGTAAAACTCACTGCTACCTAGAAAACTATCAAACTTACCGAAGTTGGTACAACCAAGAACAAATCTTATGTTGTTTGGGAATTACTAGACTTAAATGCAGATAAACAATCTTTTAACCCCCACCTGGTGTTATTTTTCTATTGCTTTTAAATAAGGGTGTGTGGGGGGGGAAGGGGGGTACACATCAATGTGAGGAACACATCGATTGGTAGCCTCCAGCACGAACCCTCGCCAGGATTGAGCCTGCAACTGAGGTACATGACCTTGCCCAGGAATCAAACCTGCAACCTTCAGTGTACCAGCCAGCCAATGCTCTAACCACTAAAAAAGTTTAGTATTAATTCTCTCAAATAAATCAGAATTTAAATCCAGTGGTTCTCAAACTTCCTAACACCTCGACCCTTTAATACAGTTCCTCATGTTGTGGTGACCCCAACCATAAAATTATTTTCGTTGTTACTTCATAACTGTAATTTTGCTACTGTTATGAATCGTAATGTAAATATCTGATATGCAGGATGTATTTTCATTGTTACAAATTGAACATAAATAAAGCATAGTGATTAATCACAATACAATATGTAATTATGTATGTGTTTTCCGATGGTCTTAGGCGACCCCTGTGAAAGGGTAGTTCGACCCCCAAAGGGGTCGCAACCCACAGGTTGAGAACTGCTACTCTAACCACTTAAGACAAGACGTCCAGGGCGCACATAAGCAAATTTTTGAGGCTTTATTATAATCACCTTAAAACATAGGTTAACTGCCAGGCCTCGACCTATGAACCAAGAGGTCCCAGTTTCAATTCCTGGTCAGGGCACATGCCTGGGTTGCATGCTCCAGTGGGAGGTGTGCAGGAGGCAGCCAATCAATGATTCCCTCACATCACTGAGGTTTCTCTTTCCTCCTTTCCTCTCTGAAATCAACATTTTTTTTAAAAAAAGTTCAGTATTAATTCCCTCAAATAAATCAGAATTTAAATCAAGCAATTAAAAATTTACTATGCAAACATTAAATCAAATACAGGAGTGTATACTGCTAATTACAGGGCATTTATCAGGCAATTGTGTCAGAAATTAACTGCTCAGTATCAATGAGAAAATGAACAGCCTTGGAGCACTTTATATACAGGTATATTCACTAAATACACCCGTAAAAATTTCACCTAGTAGCCAAGTGAAGCCATCTAAATTCTAAGTGACCAACACACCATTTCAGGCACTTTAGCTATGGGTACCCACATACACTAACTCACCTCAAAGGTTAAAATTTTTCTCCAAGGTATTGGTTTTCTTCCATTCTCTGACTCTATAAATGGGAACTGAGGTCTTTTAACTTTAAGTTGTTTCTTACTTATTTGTGACCTACTGTTTTTCCTTCCTTTTGGTCTTCCCATTGGTCTTCCTGTTGGCTTATATTTCCTCTTTTTACGTTTCTTTGGCTTCTTTTTCTTGAATCTTTCAAAAATAGCTTTTAAAGTCAATGGTCTTGGTTCTATAGATGAGTCACTGGATGAATCTCTTTCTTGAACACTTTCAAGTGAATGAACACATTTCCTAATGGGATTTCTTTGCCTCCGTTTAGGTGAGGAAGGAACACATTGAGTTTTAAATAAGCTGCTATCAGAGGAAGAGCTATCACTAGGGGAAAAAAGGGGGAAAATTAATGTATCCTCTTTATATGACTGAATGCTTATTACCAGTAATGTATGTTTCTTCAAGGACAGAAGCAGGAAAACCTGCTCAGGTTTTTCTCTTCTTTCCTAATCCTTGAAAATTACCTTTACCACCTCTGCTTTCCTGGTAATTCAAGTAAACATTATCATCAAATCTACTGTTTTCTAGTGAAAATCTGGCAGTTGCCGTTGATATAAAAAAAATGCACTTACTTCTGATTTTCAATTTCCATAGCTGAATCAGATACTGTTATGTAGTCCGGAGAATCCATTCCTGATATCTTCTTCCAGTCTGTCTCAAAATTGTTATTCTCACTTGTTCTTTGCTTTCACCAAATTTCTGACAACATAAAATACACTACATATGATGTCTAGTTTCCCGGAACAAGTGCCAGCAAAAACAGCTAGTATTCAAACAATGCAAATTTGATGCAGATTATGCCATTATATGTAAATTAAGGCACAAACATTTACAAGGCCATTCATATTTTCATGTAGGAACCATCCATTTCAAATAAAAAATTCTAAAATCTAGAAATTTTATTAATGTGTTGTATCTTTCAGTTGTGCCTCTAAAGCTATCCGGTGGAACAAGATTCTAGAAAATGTCATTCCCCCCAAAAAATATCAAACATCTTTCCAATAACAGGAAAAAATGCAATTTTATCATTAGTCATTTAGTAATGTGCAATTAATGGCCCAAAAGCCATTTTCCAAAAGCAGATGGGAACTCCTAGAAAAGTTTCACAAAGCAAGCCTCAGTATACCAGGAAAAATAATTTACTATCTCAGTCCATCACACCATTTTTAAACTCCTGGCCTGGGATTTTCATTTATGGCGTTTTCCCATTCATACTGATCAACAAAATCACTATGAAACCTCTTTTTGGCATACCTTTTTGTTACTATGGTTATTAATTTAAAAGTTCTGAATTCTCTCTCAAACTCCAATGAGGATATTGGACTATTAACATTGATGTCCTTTATCTTCCTTTTCAAAAAAATTCCTGGAAGATTTTACAATAGTTTGGGAAAATAATTTAAAATTAAAAATAAAGCCCAGCCGGGGTGACTCAGTGGTTGAGCATTGACCTATGAACCAGGAGGTCCCGGTTCCATTCCCAGTCAGGGCACACCCCCTGGGTTGCAGGCTCGATCCCCAGTACCGGGCGTGTAGGAGGCAGCCAATCAATGATTCTCAACATTGATGTTTCCATCCCTCTCTCCCTCTCCCTTTCTCTCTGAAATCAACAAAATACAATTTTTTAAAAAGTAAAATAAAGATGCCCTAACCGGTTTGGCTCAGTGATGGAGCGTTGGTCTGTGGACTGAAGGGTCCCAGGTTCAATTCTGGTCAAGGGCATGTACCTTGGTTGCGGGCACATCACCAGTGGGGAGCGTGCAGGAGGCGGCTGATCGATGTTTCTCTCTCATCGATGTTTATAACTCTCTATCCCTCTCCCTTCCTCTCTGTAAAAAAATCAATAAAATATTTTTTTTTTAAAAAGTAAAATAAAGATGAGAAATCAATACTGGTTCGCCCTTACAGAGGATGTCATCATTCTTCCACGTTTGCATTTTTCAGTGTTTAACATACTTGACAATGACCAATGAGTAAAGATGAAAGTTTTCTTAAAATTAACAGAAAAACATTTCAAATAATGGGCAATCAATAAGATCACATATATCTTAGATTTTCCAAAATGTCCAATGGACTCACACAGTAGTTTCATGGTTTTGTTGTAGTTTAAATTCAAAATCAGACTATGTCAAAAAATGCTCAAAAATTAAATTCAACAACATTGGGTCCAATGGCGCTGGTGCTACACCTGAGGTTGAATTTTTTAAAACGTTATTAGGACATTCTCAGAATGAAGTGTAGTTAGCTCAAAAATCAGTTTCTGAAACTTATCTAGACAGCATTTCTGAGTGTCCCTTATTCCGAAACTGGACGAGGCCACGTGGCCCGCCCTGCACCCTGCCGGCGCCCACAGCCTCTCCAGCCACTACCTGACCTTGGTGCCTCTCAGGAAGCGCCTAGCCTCCGGCACAGAAGGCGGCCTAAGCGTTACCTGGTGGTATTAGCCCAGAACCCCTGCACTTGTCTATGTCGCCTACAACTCCAACAGTGTAGGACCTACACTCGGGATCACACCACTGTAATCGTGGTGTGTGTGCCTCCGCCCTCAGGCCCGACTTCTTCGGCTCGAACCGCGCGATCGTCGCGGGGGGTGGGGAAGGTCAGGGGAAGGCTAGAGGCGCACCCCCTCCCCCGCCCAGCAGGCCCGGATGGCACTGTCCTCTTCTTACCCGTGTAGGTAGGCAGACGGCGGGCACCACCAAGCGCCGGCTCGGTAAGGGCCTCAGCTGCGTCCGCGCCACCCGCAGCCCAGGCCTGGGAAGCCCGCAGCCAGGAACCGCCAGCCTCAGCGGCGCAGCACGAAACAACCGCCGACCTCCGCAAGCGCGCGGAGGAAAAGACTGAACCCACCGCGAGACCTCGTTAAGAGTGGGGCCAAATTCTCGCGATAACAGTTTGGCTCCGGAAAGAACGCGAGAGGCGGGAGTATGGGGAGAGCCGCTCAGGTGGCCACGGAGGGAGGAGCGATGGCAAGTGGGCGGGGCCTGAACTCCTAACCCAGAGGAGGCGGGGTTGCCTGAGGCAGGGCTTAGGCGCAGGCTTCCGTAACTAACCCGTTAGGTAAGTGTTATAGCCAAGAGCGTAGGCAAACGACGGGAAGAAATTGTGCGGACCAGTGGGCAGAACGGGTGTGAACTGCAAGGAAACAGCCGGCTTTGTTTCCGGTGGTCTCGCGTTTGCACATTTGGCGTCCCGGGTGTGGGTGAGTGGGTGTGCGTGGTGCCTAGTGTGCTTTGTTGTCGGATTAGGTCTCCTTTTGCCTTCAAAAATCTCTTCTGTGGATCTTGCTTTGACTGTCACACAAAATATGGAACCTTTGTACTGGCACCCGTGCTACTGCGTAGGGCACCCAGTTCTCTCCACCTTTGGACTTTTGTTCTCTCTTTAACTCGAGTGGGGTCAGCCTCCCAGGAGTTGGTTAACATATCACTGGAGATAAATTCCTTTCCTCAGCCCCCCCCCCCCTTAGTTCCCGAGTATTAACATAAACCAGTTTAAAAACTAGCTTAGTTTTGGTGGGGCTTCCCCAAAGCGGTCACAAAACGGAATAAGCTGGTCTGATTTGTGCATGTTCAGACCTCTTGGGTCATATAAGCAGTGAACCTGTCTAGTCTTACAGTTAGTGTCATCTCAGGTTAGGGCAGACCTAGAAGGTAATCCGGTCTCTTCACTCAGTTTTGCTCCAAATAATGAACAATTCCAGGCATAAAAAGTCTGGTCCTGTGAGCATGTCCAGTCTATGAAATACTGTGAGCGCCAGGACAGGTATGGATGTCCCGTCCACTGCCTGGGAGCACTGGGCATGTCATTTGTGAGGCTCATTACAAAATGAAAATGCAGTGTCACTTGTTGAAAAATCGGGAAAAGTATCATTAAAGGTCCTAAAATGTAAGCTGTGAAAGGATCATGCTTTGATTGCCACTCAAAATATGGAACCTTTGTACTGACTGGAAGCCAATCCATAGATTCTAGAATATCCAGATCAAAACTAGTGAGGTAATCTGCTTGATAAACAACCCTCGGGCCCTTTCACTCCAAAAGAATAGAACTTGGCCTAAAATTAATCCTTTCTTTTCTTTTGCTAATAACTTGTCTGCCACACCTTTCGGACTAGAAAAACCTTCCATTTATGGCCCATCTCTGGGAGTGCCCTTCTACTTACTGGATGGGATGCTGCCTGGTTCACGGATCTCTTAATAAAGCCAATTAGATCCACAAATTGACTCATTTGAATTTGTTCTGTAATAGAAGTCAGATGTGAGAAACAGCCCTATCTTCAAAGAGATGCCCGTCTAGGGGGGAATAAACAAAGCAAACAGATCATCACAGGTATCCTCAATGCTGTAAGATCACTCAATACAAATTCTTCCTTATTGTGAGCTGAAATGTGTCATTCCTTCACTGGTTAACTGGCATATGTGATGAGTTCTGGCTTTGCAGTGTGTTAGATTTGGCTTGAATTCTGTTTCTGCCACTTATAATAGCTGTGGTGTCGGATAAATACTGTATTCTCTAGCCAGTTCCCTCTTATGAAATGAGGACATCAACATGGTTGTAAGAGGTTTTGAGAGAATGTAAAGTGCCTAACATAGTGTCTGGTACATAAAATGCAGTTAATAAATAGTTATCAGCGTGGTTACCATAGCTCATTCACCCATTTAGGTATTGCAGTTCCATTTATCCAGCTGGTTCCTATTTCTATTCCCACCTCTAGACCCTACTTCTGGGCCACTGACTCTCAGCAATGGAGTATGAGAGGTAAATGCTGTGTGCCTCCATATGGCCCACAGCTGTCCTGGAGCCACTCTGAGTTTATATCAGAACCTTTCTATCCCTTTCTCTCATCACCCCTCCAACTCCCATTTCAACACACTCCCACACTGCCTTCTGGGATGTTGGCTTGACTGAAGTTCTACATTTCTAAACCAGTTATTCAGGCTACAGCCCCCAGGGTTGGACTTTCTATTTTGGTGAAAAAGTAAACCAAAAAAAAACTGACCTTTTTAAAGATAGTAAAGGGTGTAAAATTAGGATATGTTTGATTTAAACTTGAGTCATTATTATTTGTACTAGAAGTAGAAATATCTAGAATGCTTTTATTATCCTCATTATAAATAAATTATATTAATTGAGCAGATTTTGACATGTTCTTAATTAGTACTTGCTGGGTGTATGGTAAAGAAAGTATGATGTTAACACTTGGAAAATCTAGGTGAAGAGTATACAGGAATTATTTATATGTATTTCTGTCCATCTGAAATTATTTCTAAAGGGAGAGTTAAAATGTCTAATTCCTAAACAATTATAGATTATTCCATTAAAAATATGTTTGAGGCCCTAGCCAGTTTGGCTCAGTGGATAGAGCATTGGCCTGCAGACTGAAGGGTCCCGGGTTCGATGCCGGCCAAGGGTACATGCCCGGGTTTCGGGCTTGATCCCCAGTGTGGGGTATGCAGGAGGCAGCCAATCAATGATTCTCTCTCATCATTGATGTTTCTATTTCTCTCTCCCTCTCCCTTCCTCTATGAAGTCAATAAAAATATATTTTAAAAAAATATGTTTGAGATCATCCTATACAATAAAGAACTAAGATGCTAATTAGACCAAACAGCAGATGACCTTCCGGACGAAGCCCGAGGCTGCGAGGGCCAAGCCCCTTGCACGAGTTTTGTGCATTGGACCTCTAGTTGAAGTATAATTATATAGAACTTGGGTCCCATTATCAACAGTTTATCTTTTATTTGGGAGACAAGAATATGCATATTAATTAAAGTATAATAAAAGTTGGTATTTGATAAAGTACTGAAATAAATGTCAAGTTCTAAGTGTGTGCAATAACGTATTTGTGGGAGATGTGTAGTTTGAAATTATCATCAAAACTAAAAATTCAGTTTATAAGAAACCCGGGACTCTTTAGAAAAGTTAAAAAGAAACTTTTTTTGAAAGAATTTTTCCAGTGCTGAAGAAGGACCACCTTTCACTTACTGAGTAAGCATGTAGCAGAGACTATTCAGATTAATGATGTTTTCCATTAACAGTTTTAATGAGAGTTCCAACAGTGCTCTTAGAGATACCTCAACTTTTGCCTTTGTTCCTTATTGCAACTGGCCTAGAGTGGGATATTCTGCCCACCTTATTACTTTTATTTGTTTCTTTTGCCTTCATTTTATTTATCTCCCTCTGCTTGCACACTTGAACATTTGAGGTAAGATACTAATTTCTGTGTATATATGCCTACTTATTATAAAATATACTTAGCATATATTTTTAAAATATCAAATTATAACTGGTTAGATTATGAGAATAATTAAACATTGAAGCTGTTTACTAAGAAAGTATGTTAATTTGTAAATGAAAATTTGAATTTCAAAAGCTAATCATTAACAGAAGTTTCTATTTCTCTTATTAATTTAAATTTTCTTTTTTAGAAGTGATAATCTAAGAAACTTGTTTAATTTTTAGCCTAAATGTCAACTATAGAATAGAAAACACAAATGATCTATTATATAGAAGTACTTGAGCATTCTGTACTGTTACCTTCAACCATTTAATTACTTCAGAAAGCTTAATAACTACTTTTTGTTTCAGGACCTATAGTCCTTAGCCCAACCATTAGAAAACCCCAAATTCAATCCAGGTTTATGACTAAAGAAAATGAACCGTGTGCCCTCTTGGTTTGCCATTTCTTGTCTATTTTAAATGTCAATTATATAAAATATCGGTATTAAAAGAGATTACTTGGACATTTTGTCACTAGGAATGTTGAATACTAGAAGTTGTGATTGCTTTTCTTTATTTTTATTGATTTTATATATTTTTTATTTTTATATTTTTTTATTATTTTTATATTATTTTTTTTTACTCATATTTTACTTGGTTTTGGCTCTCTTACACCTTCCTATTTTTTCTCAAAACTGAATGGCAGCTCATAAACAATTTATATTGCTAGTACTCTTTGCTTGTATTTCTTTTCTATCAATCTGATATGACAAGACAGCTGAGGCTAGATTTAGGATGACTTCTTGTTTTTAGAGACCCTGATTCTACAAGACTTAAACTAATGGTTGACACTACTTTCAGAGAAGTTTTTATAAGAACTTTTCATCCTTAAAAATATATTGCTCTTAGATTTATAACATTGAGACATCTGTTTGCTTTTTTATTTTTATTTTTTAAAACTTCACCCAAGGGTATGTTTTTTATTAATTTGAGAGAGAGAGAGGAAGGGAAAGGGAGAGAGAGAGAGAAATATCAATGATAAGAGAGAATCATTGGTTGGCTGCCTCCTGCATGCCCCCCACTGGGGATTGAGCCCAGCCCACAACCCGGGCCTGGGCCTTGACCAGGAATCGAACAGTGACCTACTGATTCTTATAGGTTGATGCTCAACCACTGAGCCACACCGGCTGGGCGTGGTTGCCTTTCTGTGAGAACGGAAAACTAATGCCCTTTTGCCCTCTTTATGTAACTGAACTCTGAATGTTCATTTCCAGAGCAGCAGCTATTTGTACGTGGTGCACTGTGAACTCCTATGATAATCAGCCTGCAGTAGTTTTATTTGTGCATCCTCACACGTGAAGAAGTAAGAAAATGGCCTGTGCTGAGTATTCTTTTCATATGCCAAGTCTAGAGGAACTTGTTGGAGGTAAGTACAATACTTAAAAGTTTTTAAAATTATTCTAAGAAAAAAATAAAAATATTCTAAGATATGATTTACGCAATAGTACTTTCAATACAGAACTCATTTTCCTTTTCAGTACCTGTTCTATACTATTTGTATTGAGAGTCCAAAATTCTAGCCCTCGAAAAAAATTAAACTCACTATTTGAAGATTCTTGATAATTTTACAGAATGAAAATAAATATAATAATCTACATTTAAGCTGAAACCGGTTTGGCTCAGTGGATAGAGCATCGGCCTGCGGACTGAAAGGTCCCAGGTTCGATTCCGGTCAAGGGCATGTACCTGGGTTGCGGGCACATCCCCAGTGGGAGATGTGCAGGAGGCAGCTGATCGATGTTTCTCTCCCATCGATGTTTCTAACTATCTATCTCTCTCCCTTCCTCTCTGTAAAAAATCAATAAAATATTTTAAAAAAATAATATACATTTAAGGTTTAAGGGTGTGTAGTGCTCAAAGAATTGCACAATTTTGCTTTATAAACTTTTTATCACTTATAGTATTCTTTAAACATATAACCTACTATGGAGTATTAATCAGGTTCCCAATATACTATTCCCAACCCCATATGACAAACTGCCAATGAACTTGCTTATATGTTTCTGTCTCCATTTATTTTTTTAAACTTTTTTTCTTTTTTTTAATATATTTTATTGATTTTTTTTACAGAGAGGAAGGGAGAAGGATAGTCAGAAACATCGATGAGAGAGAAATATCTATCAGCTGCCTCCTGCACGCCCCCTACTGGGAATGTGCCTGCAACCAAGGTACATGCCCTTGACCGGAATCAAACCCGGGACCCTTGAGTCTGCAGGCTGACGCTCTATCCACTGAGCCAAACCGGTCAGGGCTCCATGTATTTTTAAGTATTTCACCTTGATCAAACAAGAATTTAAGACAGCTTCACAAGATACATTAGGAGGCAAGATAGAAAATAAAAAGAAAAATAGGAATATAAAATGAAGACAGAATAATTTTTTAAATGTGTTTTTATTGATTTTAGAGAGAGAGGAAGGGAGATGGATAGAGAGATAGAAACATCGATAAGAGAGAAACATCATCAATAGGCTGCCTCCTGTATGCACTCCTACTGGGGACTGAGCTTGCAACCCAGGTATGTGCCCTGACCAGGAATTGAACCCACCACTTTGTGGTTCCTGGGTCGATGCTCAACCACTGAGCCATACTGGCCAGGTGAAGACAGAATAATTAATCTGAAACTGGAGAGCCTGTCAGAATGCTAACATTTGTTTGACAGCCTTTAGGTTGTAGTCTGATGCTAACTCTAAAACCTAACCTCATTTCTCACAGTGTATCTGTCCTGGTAGTTCCTCTTTCCCTCTGATAAGGTTCAAATCAAGAAGTGGACTCATATTTTACTTGGTTTTGGCTCTCTTACACCTTCCTATTTTTTCTCAAAACTGAATGGCAGCTCATAAACAATTTATATTGCTAGTACTCTTTGCTTGTATTTCTTTTCTATCAATCTGATATGACAGGACAGCTGAGGCTAGATTTAGGATGACTTCTTGTTTTTAGAGACCCTGATTCTACAAGACTTAAACTAATGGTTGACACTACTTTCAGAGAAGTTTTTATAAGAACTTTTCATCCTTAAAAATATATTGCTCTTAGATTTATAACATTGAGACATCTGTTTGCTTTTTTATTTTTATTTTTTAAAACTTCACCCAAGGATATGTTTTTTATTAATTTGAGAGAGAGAGAGAGAGAGAGAGAGAGAGAGAGAGAGAGAGAGAAACATCAATTGGTTGCTCCCATACACACCCCAACCAGGGATTGAACCCACAATCTGGGTATGTGCCCTGACCGGCAATGAAACCCACCCACCTTTTGGTGTATGGGATGGTGCTCCAACAGAGCCACACCGGCCAGGGCACTTTCTTACTTTTTATTGAATCATAATATATCTATAGTAAAGTACACTAATCTTAAGTGTACAGCTTGATGAATTTTAACATATTTATACCCATGTCACTACCATCAAGATCAAGATATAAAGTATTTCCAGCATTGCAGAAAGCTCCTTCATGTGCTTTCCCAGTCAATATCTGTACGCAAGAGGTAACTACTGTCCTGACTTCTGTCACTTTAGATTAGTGATCCGTTTTTTAAATACATCATATAATATATACTCTTTTGTGTCTTGTCTTTCTCAACCTGTAAGCTTCAAGGAAGTTGTTGCATGTAATTGCTTACTTTCTATCAGTTTAAATATTTACATTTCAATATGTCTTTGGAATCCTCTCCCCAGAAGAAAGGTAGTCCTCACCTGAGTGCAGTGTTTCTCCTCAGTGGTTTATAATCACTATGATTTATACTGGTATTTATGTGTCTTAGTCTACATCAGTGATTCCCAAAGTGGGCGCTACCGCCCCCCGGTGGGTGCTGCAGCGATCCAGGGGGGCGGTGATGGCCGCAGGTGTATTTGGGGGCGATGAGTAACATTTAAAAAAAATTAATTTCCAGGGGCTGAGTAATATTTTTTCTGGAAAGGGGGCGGTAGGCCAAATAAGTTTGGGAACCACTGGTCTACATGATACCTTGTGATTGACTATGTGTCTAATGTCAAATTGAATTCATTAATAAGATCCCTTCCCCCTCTTTTTTAATTATACAAGTTTAGATTAGAAGTGTGACACACAAAAAAGTTGAGGGAAGATTTGATATGTGGTGACAAATTTTTACCTAATGCTAAGTAATGGCTTTCCTTGTCTTTATTAGTTCTGCAGAAGGGGCTAAAGGATAACTTTGCTGATGTGCAGGTCTCTGTAGTTGATTGCCCTGATTTGACTAAGGAGCCATTTACCTTTCCTGTAAAAGGTAAGCAATTTTTGCTGTTACTTTTTTTTCAGTCCTAATCTTTTTCTGAAACCAGAATGATTTTTAAGGATTATTTTAAAGTATCTACAAATAACGATATTATTTCAACTTTTAGACTAAATTGTGCTTAATTTCTATGCTCACTGTTTTCTTGTGTTGGTGAAATATCATTTTGTACTCTTGTGGAAAGATTGTGTGTTTTATGTGCTTTTGTAACTTTCATAGGGTATATAATACATATTTAGTAGGCTAGAATCCTTGCTATTACATGAGAATTTTGTTTTTAAGTGGTCAAGTGACTGTTATGGAAACTTACTTAAATATTTATTTATTTATTCAAGATGTGAAGAGAACTTAAAAACCTTGTATTTGAATCATCTCTTAAATACTTACATCCTTCAACAAATTTGCCAAGTGATCATCCAGCTCATGTTTAAAGTGAAAATAATAGCCCTAGCTGGTTTGGCTTAGTGGATAGAGTGTCAGCCTGCCCGGGTTCAATTCCAGCGAAGGGCACATGCTCGGGTTGTGGGCTTGGTCTCCAATTGGGGGCGTGCAGGAGGCAGCCAATCAATGATTCTCTCTCATCATTGATGTTTCAATCTCTCTCTCCCTGTCCCTTCCTCTCTGAAATTAATAAAAAATATATATTAAAAAATAAAATGAGAATAATAATTACTTAATTATTAATTTAATTATTATTAAAGGGAAATTAATATTGGTGGAGTAAATATAGTTAAACAGAGTATGATAGATACCTATATCTAATGTCTTAATTTTTACAATAACACTGCAGGGTAAGTACTAGCCCTCGTTTATAGATGTGGAAACTGAAGCAGGATTCAAATCTAGGTCTGCTTCTAAAATACAACTTTCTCCTGCTATACCCTACTGTGATGAAAAATTTGAAGATAAACACTAATATTTATTCACTCTTTTAGTATGCAACTGACATCTTTGTTAAAAAATAGTTTTACATGAAAGTCCTGAACTCTAGTTCTTTCTCTGCCACATTCAGATTTCATTACCCTGGGAAAGTTAATTAATGTACCTGGGGTTCATGGAGGATTTAAATGTCCTTTTGGGGAAGGGGGGGGGGAGTGTCTTTCCAGTTTAAACAGTCTTTGATTTTAAGTAGACCTGTAAATTCTAGAAGTTTTGTGTGCCAGATGGCAATTTATCTTCACACCTTGAAAGCATTTAGTGCAATGCTTTTTTATAGCTATGTTTCTTCCAATTTTTAGAGTAATACATTCTCTCCCAATTTAAAAAAATCAAATAAAATAAAAATCAGAAATCACAGAGGGTACAAAGAAAAAAATGTTTAATCTTAATTCTGTCATCCAAAGGGTTATACTTTGAACAAGAGGTTTCTGGTCAATAACTTATGAGTCTTTAAATGACAATACTAAGGAAGTCAGATATGTATATACGACCTTTCATAAACATAGTTAGGCACTTTCTACATGAACTGATCTTGCTCATGTCCCCGGTGACCTTGGTATGTTTTACTAGAATTATTTTGTCTCTACATACTTCATACTTTTTGCCCATTGTTACCTGACACTCTCTCTCCCCTTGGTTCTCCCCTCTCCTTTGTTCTTTTGCCTCGTCTTTCTTGGTGCCTTTCCTACCTCTGTGTTTTTCTTTTCTTCCTCATTTCTCCTGATTTCTTCTCTTTCTAGCAGGCTCTTAAATTTGGATGTTTTCCAGAATTCTTTTCTCAGCCTCTTCTTATTCTGTACAGTCTCTCTTGGATTGTCCATTTACCCCTGTGGTTTTAATGACTATTTGGATACAACAATTTTGAAATCCGTACATGTTGCCTAGATCTCTTTTTTTGTTAGCTGTGGATCAGTAATTCCAGCTGTCATATATAGGAAATCTCCACCTATATATGCTAAGGACAACTTGAGGTCTACATGTCTAAAGTTTAACTCATCATATTTGCCTATTTTTTCTTTGTTCTTTTTCTTAATTTCCTTTTCATCTCTACAAGTCACCATTTTTAGCCATTACTTGTCTCTTCTCTGAACTACTAAAATAGTACGCTATTGGTGGTTTCTCTAAACTTCAGCATTACTGGCACTTATGATAAAGAGTCTTATCCATGAGTAATTTCTGCTGATCCCATGGAAAGCATGTACAAAATAGCTAATTATAAATGTAGCCTAAAAGAATTGTGTACATCTACCATATACATAGCTGAAGAAACAGAGAAATTATATCTACTATGTAATGCTGTTAGTATGAAACTGATAAAACTACTTTTTCTCAGACAAAAGGTAATTATTTTCCACTCTACATTAAAAATAAAAGTCTTCTCCCAAATTGTGTCTAGCTGTACCTGTGATGTTAATTATAAATGTAAGTGTAGCCCTGCCCAGGTGGCTCAGTTGGTTGAAGCGTTGTCCCATACACCAAAAGGCTGCAGGTTCGATTCCCGGTCAGGGCACATACCTAGGTTGCAGGTTCAGTTACCAGTTGGGGTGTGTATAGGAAGCAACCAATCCATGTTTCTCTTTCACACTGATGTTCCCTTCTCTCTCTCTCTTTTCCTCTCTCTCTAAAAATCAATGAATATATCCTTGGGTGAGGATTAAAAAAATGAAAGTAGAAAGTTCCTAGCATCTGAAGTTTACCACGAATTACTCGTCATTTTTATAAACAACCTTAGGAAAAAACAAGTTTGACAAGAGGATTTCATATATGGATTTCTAAAAGAACTAATATTGTATTTTACCACAGTAAAGTATTTTAAGTTAAAATTTAATTTTAGCTAAACATCTCCCCAACCACCAAAAAAACCCCACGAATTTTTAAAGGAATAGGTAACTATAGACAAGTTAAATTATAGAAACCTCATCCAATCCAGGTTTTGGCCCCAATTCTAACCCTTTCCCTATAATCAACTGTATATTATCTTTATGCTACCAACTATATCAAGGCATGCTTTGTTATGACAGTATTAGAGCCACAGGTAGTTAGAATAGTACATGGGTCCTAGCTATTTACATCTTCCAATCCCTACTATTTGTAAAACTATGAAAATGGGAAAGTTATCTACTCCTAATAAATTAAACCAGTGTTTTCTGGCATTTTATAGTAATTGCATTAGATATTTGCCTAAATTTGATTTTTTTTTTTTTTTTTAGGAATCTGTGGGAAAACTAGAATTGCAGAAGTAGGAGGTGTGCCTTACTTATTGCCTCTTGTAAATAAAAAAAAAGTAAGTGTACTTTTACTCTTCACATTCACATGAAGATTGTAGAATCTGGGTTGATTCCTCTTATTAGAACATCATTGACCAATGTGGCAAGGAATTGCTGATGGACTCAGTAAACCTGGGAATTTGTATAAATTATTATTTAAATAATACTGTTTTCCTCTTATATAGGTTTATGATCTAAATAAGATTGCAAAAGAAATCAAGCTTCCTGGAGCTTTTATTCTTGGAGCGGGGGCAGGTCCATTTCAGTCTCTTGGGTTCAATTCTGAGGTCAGCACATATATAATTATTTTATTTTATTTATTGATTAGACATTTGGTTTGCCTTTCCTTCCCTATCAGAAATCTTAACTTTCTGGATGAATTGTAAGTGGTTAATATCATGTCTCTTCACAGATTTGCTACTATTTGATACAGTTTTGGATTATAGCACATGCTCCAACTGATGCAACTATAATAGGGCACTAACCGCTAATTTCAGATTTTCTTAGGGTATAAACTCATTCTTAGGTGAATCCAAGGTCCAACTGTGGTCTACTGTGGATCTGGATTGTGAAAGATTTTAATCCTTATACATCAGAGGATTTCAGCTTCTCCATAAATCTTTGCTTTTGGTACAAGAGCAGCTTTCTATCAGAAGATGAGTGGAATATTTAATGATCTAGTCAACACCCCTTTTCTGACCAAATTGTAGAAACCTACCCCAGTAGTATGATTATTTACAAAAGGTAATATCTAGTACTGTGAATGTCAATATATTTCTAACATAAAAATAGCACTGTTTCTTCACATCTCATAACCAGAAGAGTGAATGACATCTTCAATGTGCCCATTCTCTCACAACCTTTACAGATATGACCATTAGTCAATAATCAAGTTCTTTTGGAGAATCAATATAATTTGCTTACTGTTCAAGGAAAAAATTTTAATTAGACATTTTAAATAAAGTAAACGTTACAATGTAATAGGAACACTGTAAGAAATACTGTAAACATTTTATAAAATGTTTTTTTCAGCTTTTTGATATTTGTAAATCTTTTAACATTTTGTTTTGAATCTAAAATTAAAAGTTCATATTTCATGTCTTCTTAGTATTGAAATAAAATGTCTTAAAATATAGGATAAAATTCTGTCATATTATTCAAGATATTCTGTTTGCAAAGAGATAGGAAGATTGACTAATTTTACTTAATTTACTTTTCTTTTCAGTTTATGCCAGTTATTCAAACAGAAAGTGAACACAAACCTCCTGTGAATGGAAGTTACTTTGCCTGCATTAACCCTGAAGATGGAGGGTGCCTACTAGAGAAATACAGTGAGAAATACCATGATTATGGGTGTGCATTACTGGCTAACCTTTTTGCCAGTGAGGGCCAACCTGGAAAGGTGATTTTGTCCATAAAAACACAGTGTTCTTCAGAAGTTCTCAGCTAAAAATTTGAACTTTTATTGCCACCACAAATATGGTTTTCTAATAAAAATCCAAAGTGCCTAAGTCAAAGCTCTTTAGCCCAGCTGATTGTAGCTCAGTGGTTGAGCGTTGGCCTGTGAACCAGGAGACCACCGTTGGATTCCCGGTCAGGGCACATGCCCACGTTTCGGGCTCAATCCCCATTGTGGGGCATGCAGGAGGCAGCGGATTGATTACTCTCTCTCATCATTGATGTTTCTCTCTCTCTCTCCCTCTCCCTTCCTCTCTGAAATCAATAAAAATATATATTTTTTAAAAAGCAGCTCTTTTAATAACCTAGTTATGAAAGATTCAGAGAGTACTACAGGTAGAGTGAAACTCTCATTTAAAACTGAGGTTAAGAATATTTAGTAAGCAATACTCTTCTTTTTAGGAACTATAAGGTATCAGGATATCCATATGGGGAGTGAATTAGTCAAATATATGAACCATGTAGCTGATAATGTCTACCTGTAATTAGAATCTATGCAATTTGTTCATTCCTGACTGATCAAACATTGATTGAATTAGATAGAAATGATGGTAGCAAAATATTGTAGCAAGACGGAGGTAAGGAAAATTAATGCCTCACTTCAGATTTACTTCATGTTAGAACACAAAAGGATGATTTCAGTTTTAGCTTTGAGAACGCTTAGATTTTATAATAAGTACAGATAGCTGCTTCAGCTACTTTGAGAAATGAGGTAGTGAAGTAAAAATACCTAATTAAGTGAAGATAACCTAAGTCCAGAATTTTAAAAGGAAGTGACAAAAATGTAATCATTTTCCCCTCCCCTGCAATTAAATAATCCAGTCATGGAAGATTCAGAAAGTACTGCAGGCAGAGTGAAAGTCTCATTTCAAACTGAGGTTAGGAATAACACATAGTAAGCAATACCCTTTCAGCCAGGGAATTCTCAACCCTTGACCATCTTGACATGTAATGATAAGAATCTCTGGAGTTCAGTGAAGGATTTAGCCATAACTCTCAGTCCAAGAAAGCATGACTAAAAATTATTATTAGAGTAAATGTTCTATCACACACACACACACACACACACACACGTATATCTGTATTGATATGTGGGTGCTCTAAGCAAAAATGTGAATATTTGCTTAATGGCATTAGATTGTATAATGTTTCTCTTTGGTAGATATTTACATAAAATTTTGCACTTTAGAACAGTGGTATGCATATTTATATCCTCTCTAGGTCATTGAGGTGAAAGCCAAAAGAAGAAATGGAAAACTTAATTTTGTGACTTGCATGAGACAGACTCTTGAAAAACATTATGGAGATAAGCCTGTAGGGATGGGAGGTACTTTCGTAATTCAGAAAGGAAAAGTGAAGACTCACGTTATGGTAAGGGGCCTGTGGGGTGTGAGTGCATGCATTTGTGGATATGTATGTGTGTGCATGTGCTTAAGATCTTAAGGATTTTTTTAATGCACATTGAGAATTTTACCTTTAAAGACATCCTAAATAAATAATTTTACTAGATTGACATCCTAAATAAATAATTTTACTAGATTGTATTACTTTAAAATTTAAATGACAAACAGTACTGTAAATCATATTGAACTTTCTTTTCAATGTCTTTATTTTTCAGATCAAGATAGATGTGAGTATAAGCCTGAGAAGCTGATTATTACTTTGCCAGAATCCCATACTTAATACATAGACTTTACTATTAGAATGGTTGTAGTTTGGGGGAAAGATCTCATGAAAATTACAATCTATGGCTAAATATAATAAGTTTATAAGACATTAAGTATGGAATACTATTTGAAGACAGACCCAGGGCATTTGGGACTTTTAATATAATTTTTGATAGGTGAATGAATCAATGAAGTGATGTTATCAGTAAAGCCATTAGAAAATGTATTGTTTTAATTTTTTTTATCCTGTTATTTTAAAATGGCATGCCAGCTGACCCTGCAAAGAAACACATTTGTGAAACTAATTACTTTTCCAAATTATTTACAACAGAATTATAGATAAATCTATTTGTAAATACCAAATGATTATATGATTAGTACAACTATTATGGGAAATAGCTGTACCAAAAAAATATATATATATTCAAAGGAAAGGAAATCAGTATCTTGAAGGGATATATATACTCCTGTGTTCACTGCAGCATTAGTCACAATAGCCAAGTTATGAAAACAATATATATACAGGATATATATATATATATATATATATATATATATATATGACTTAAAAAAGAAGGAAATCCTGTCATTTATGATAATATGGATGAATTTGTAGGACATTATACTAAGTGAAATAAGCCAGACAGAGAAAGATAAATTTGCATGATGTCACCTATATGTAGAATCTATATGGTGATTGTCACGGGTTTGGGAGTGATGGCAGGGGAAATGGAGAGAAGTTGGTCAAAGGGTACAAACTTCAGTTATAAGATGAACGAGTTCACCCAGCCAGTGTGCCTCAGTTGATTGAGCCTCTGGTCATATACCAAGAGGTCACCAGTTCGATTCCCATTCAAGGAGTGTGTGGGAGACAGCCGATCAATGTTTCTCTCTCTCTTTCCCTCTCCCCCTCTCTCTCTAAAAACCAATTTAAAAAAAGATGAACAAGTTCTAGAAACTAATGTACATAATGGTAAATATAGTTAATAAAAAATATTGTGTACTATAGGATGACACATAAGATTAGGATGAGGATATACTCACAGGAAAACAGGCTACAAAAAGTAAAAATACATTAATAGACTCATTCCTTCATTTATTCATTCATACATTTTAGTGTGTACACACTGATTGGTGATCCTTTTAAAAATTAAGGTATATAACTTTAGATGCCAAAAATAGTCAACACAATGTATAAGAACTCTTAAACTTTTTAACTTAATATAAAATTTTAATTCTCAAAAATATTCAGTATGTTTACCTGTTTAATGATCTTTTATTGTAGCCTAGAGAATTTTCTCCCTGCCCATTGAACTCTGATGAAGACGTGAATAACTGGTTGCATTTTTATGAGATGAAGGCTCCTTTGATTTGTCTGCCAGTTTTTGTCTCCAAAGACCCAGTAAGTCTGTGTCTGTCTTTTATATTGTAGTATACCACAATGAGACGCTCAAGTTTTAGGATGTTGTTTTTTTTTTAATTTGACATTGTTTGTGTTGTTATTTAAGAACTAGGAATTATCTTGAAAGATAAGGAAGCAAGTGGCTAGCAATCTTGAGTTAGGCAGAGCAGATTTACCTTTGAGAAAATGAAGGCACAGGCATTTTAAATAATACCCAAAGTCATGTTATTAAATAGTAGAATTACAACATGACTCATTGTATTTGCTGTTTATTATACTGTTCATTATATTCTAATACTATACACTAGGAAAAATATTATACTATAGATCAATTCAAAGTAAATATCTACCAAAATACTGGCTAGTGATATCTTTTGATCCAATGATTACATGCCTAGAAATTTATCTTTAAATATTTGCATAAGCGTGTAAAATTATTAATTACAAGGTTATTCATGACAGAATTGCTATAAGAATAGAATAACTGGAAATAATCTAAACATCAGTTGGAAAGTGGCATATACATACAATAGAATATAAGGAAACTCTTTTATGATTTGATATACAAAGATCTCAAGCTATATTGTTAAATGAAGAAAAACAATATGTACAGAGTACTACTATTTGAGTGGAAAAAATAAATAAATCTTTCTGGAAGGATATGGAAGAAACTGCTTACATTAGTTGCCTGCAAAGAAAGGAAGTGAGTGGTGAGGGCAAGAAATGGAAAGATGTATTTTACTGAATATATCCTTTTGAATCATATGAATGTATTACCTATTTAAACAATAAAATAAAAACTACCATAATATAAATTTAAAAGGTCTCCCTCCCCCTAAGTAAATTCTGTTCAAAATAATTTGAATATTAACAGATAGTTTGTCTGTTGTTCTAGGGGTTTGATTTGCGATTGGAGCACACTCACTGTTTCAGTCATCATGGAGAAGGTGGACACTACCATCATGACACTACCCCAGATATAGTGGAGTATCTTGGCTACTTCTTACCTGCAGAGTTTCTCTATCGCATTGATCAACCAAAAGAGACTCATTCATTTGGGCGGGATTAAGTCAACTGCTACTCATTTAGAAAAAGAAATGATTAAGTTAATTAATTGATTAACTCAGGAATTGATGCAAATATAAAATCCAACAGAAATTATCTCACTACTTAAACTCTATATTTTTGGCCTTTGAAATAAAGATACGTTGATATTATGCTGTGTTGTTTCATAGGTCTATCTGAAAAAGTTTATTGGAACAAAGATACATAATGGAGATGTTCTTCATTCTTTTTTTTCTAAAAATCAGTCTTATATTTATACTTTAAATATAAACACGACCTGGAGTCATGTGATTGGTTATTTTTACATAACTTACAGTTGTAAGTTATGTAAATTACAAATAGTAATCGCTTATATTTGTTTAAATTATTAAAATTTTCAACTTAGTCTCAAAACTCCTAATAGGATATTAGAAAAATCAGTGTTGGAAATTTTGATAGTTATTGAATCTTTGCATTGAATTTTAAAAATCCATTTTAGAAGTCAGAGTGTTTAATAATTTAAACACTTCTCTCATGGAATACGGTGGTCAGAAGGAGGAGCTTCACCCCTTTTGGTGAAGTTCACCCATATTCAGAGTTTGCAATTTCCCTTTCACAAACATTAGCAACTAGATGGTTAGCCATGATTCCGCCTCTGTTTGGACTGCCAACTGGAAGCAGTTTGTGCCTTGTTGGTTACTTGCAAAAAGAGTAGAAAAAACAAGCAGCATCAAAATACAACAATGAAGAGAGTATATATTTTAATTTATGTGAGGCTATTGCTAAACATGGCCACTGTGCTTCGAGATATATAAAATTATACTCTTACTGATTATAATGGTCAAAATTTTCCTTAGTGTTCTTCAGTAATCATTAGCCAGAAATTAACTATCTCATCTTACTAATGCAAACAATGTGCATATTTAGGAGCTCTTTAATATTAAGCACATAGTAAATCTTCAAAAAATATTTTTGATTGTCTTCTCAGGATGTTACTTGTAACATGTCCTTTGAGTATAAATTACTAAATATTATTTTTAAATAAGTACTAGTTTGTAGCAAAAAATGATTAAAGCCCGGCCAGCATGGCTCAGTGGTTGAGCATCAACCTATGAACCAGGAGATCACCGTTCGATTCCCGGTAGGGCACATGCCCAGGTTGTGGGCTCGATCCCCAGTGTGGGACATGCAGGAGGCAGCTGATCAATGTTTCTCTCATCATTGATGTTTCTATCTCTCTCCCTCTTCCTTCCTCTCTGAAATCAATAAAAATATATCTTTAAAGAGTGATTAAAAATTTATATTCATAATATGACTTGTGTTTCTTTTTAACATTCTACCTAAGGAAAAAAAAATTATTATTCATTCAACAAATATGTATTGAATACCTACCCTGCCCTCTGGAATGTAAGCTCTATGAGGGCAAGGGCTTTGGTCACTATTATAGCACTAAGGCACTAGTGCCTGGAAAAGGAGGCACTCCATAAATATTGGTTGAATGAATGAATGGGTGGGTGGATGATTATGCCAGATACTTCACTAAGTACTGGGATCTATCATTCAATCATGACAAATAATAAGCAAGTATATAATATGTCAGATGATGGTAAGTGCTATGAAGAAAAATAAAGCAAGCTTTGGATGCATTATAAAAGTGGATGCTATTTTGTTGTGGCCATCCTACACTGAGACAGAATGAATTCCCCACCCAAAATTTGGTTCAGATGAAATCAATCAATCTCTCTCTCTCTCTCTCTCTCTCTCTCTCTCTCCACACACACACACACACACACACACACACACACACACACACACACACACACACACACACGATATGAAAGGGTTTACTGGTTGCATAATGAGGCTTTATGGGGAGTTCAAAAATGGATTGAGTGAACAGGGGAAGGAGACTGGCTGGGAGGGGGGGTGGGGTATGGTGGTTAGGGGAAGGAGCCAGAATGATAGTCCTTCATGCAGTTTGAATTTCCCACAGGTGTTGAAGGAAAGAGTACCCACACTTTCTTATCAGCTGCCCAAATGTGGAGCAGAAGGGGTAAGGCTTAATAGCTGTAAGCAGTCAAACATCAAAAATAGAATCGGACTCTATGTTAACATTTTATATAGGGAGATCAGGGAAAGCCTCTGGTAAAGAGACATTTGTGCAAAGACTTGATTGAAAGAAATGAGTGAACCATGAAGTTATTTGGAAAAACATCTTTCCTGGCAGATAAAAGCCCCAGAGGCAGAAGAGCACTCAGTATGTTCAAGAAACAGCAAGGAGGCCACTGTGAACACAATCAGATTCTCATACATTAACCATTGGTGTTTCAACCAGGAAAAAGGACAGGAATGAAAGAGTAGGTGTAATTAATGAAAAGGTAGAAAAAATAAGCTTTTTAGCAGAAAACATGATTGACCTCTTAGAAAACAAGACAATCTATAGTGAAATTATTAGACTGAGTTCAAAAGGTTCCTAAATATAAATTCAGTATACAAAGGTTTGTATTTCTACTAGTACATAACTAACAAGAAACAATTAAAAATGTAAATGTGAAAAAGATATCAATTACAATGTTATCAAAAGTGCATAGCAATATTTTTATTTAACAAAATCATTTATAACTTTTATGGATAAAATAGTAAAACTGTTGAAAACGTAAAGAAGTTCCAAAAAATAGGAAGATGCAATCTCATAAAAGTATCAATTCTTCTCAAAACTGTAAATTCAGCCCAGCTGGTGTGGCTCAGTGGTTGCGCATCAACACATGAACCAGAGGTCACAGTTCAATTCCCCATTAGGGAATATGCTCGGGTTGTGGGCTCCATCTCCAACTGGGGTCATGCAGGAGGCAGCCAATCAATGATTCTCTCTCATCGTTGATGTTTCTATCTCTCCCTCTCACTTCCTCTCTGAAATCAATTTTAATCTAATAAAATACAAACATGCAAATTGACCATACCTTTGCTGTGCCTTAAGCCACACCTACCAGCCAATCAGAGCGACTATATGCAAATTACCCAACCAAGATGGTGGCCGGCAGCCATGGAGCTGAAGCGAGGAGGAGGCTTGGTTGCTCCAGTGATGGAGGAAGCGAAGCTTCCCGGCTGGCTCTGAGCTCCACTGTAGGCAACAAAGTTTCAATTATAGAAGGTAAATAAATCCCAGAATAATAAAAAAAGAGAGGCTGGAATGGAAAGGAATGGAACCCTGACCTGATTCAAGAGTTGACGCTCAACCACTGAACCACACTGGCCAGGCTAGAATGCACATTTTTTTTTGTAGATTGGAATTTTCTGTTCAAACTCCCATCATTTCATCCATTTTCCTCTTTCCTTTAACACATTATTTTATAGTCCTTGCCTCCCATCTCCAATGGTTTGATCACCCATGAATGTGTTCCTATTATTTGTTTTTGCTTCTGATTACCAGTCACTCTTTCCTGCCTCTTTACATATCTACTACTACTATTATTATATACTATATATTATGTGTTCTAGATGGTATCTTTCACTCTTTTGTTAGGCAGATGGAGAGACTGATTACCTCAATTCAATTAGAGATTGAGCTGGGTTGGGGTTGGGTTGCATTTTAAATAAGGCTCAGGCCACCTCTGCTTACAGTCTGTTATCCCACGTGCCTCTTCTGAGGTTTTAATTGAGAGCCTGGCAGATCTGTCTCCTCAGCCTTAAAACAGTTCCTTCCTTCAGAAGATTTGAGCTCCATGAAACCTCAAGTCTTTTTCATGGAACACTTCCCCTTAAGCAGGATTTAGTCTTGTCAGCAACGCTGGAGATCAGGTATTTACCTCTTAGAGGAAAGAATTCAACACAAGATAGAAAAGGCAAAGTTTTTTGTTTGTTTTTTAATATATTTTTATTGATTTCAGAGAGGAAGGAAGAAATATCCATGATGAGAGAGAATCATGGACCGGCTGCCTCCTGCAAGTCCACCACTGGGGATCAAGCCCACAACCCGGGCATGTGCCCTTGACTGGAATGGAACCTGGGATCTTTCAGTTCGCAGGCCGACACTCTATCCACTGAGCCAAACTGGGTAGGGCGAAAAGGCAAAGTTTTATTCGAAGTGAAAGTACACCTAAGGGACTCTTGGATGGGCAACTCCAGCTAGGTTCCAGTGCCCCGGAATGGGCCTAGTTCCAGGCTTTTTATCTTATGCTTGCCCCTCCCTTTTTCTGCCTTAATCTTATTGTACCATTCACTCCTTGAGGGGCTGGAATTTGTTCGTAGGTGTTTTTGCAAGATTTGCCCTCTTGGTGCCCTCCTTCCTGTTTTTGTCTAAATTTGATGGCTGTTTTTAGCTTTCTGTCCCTCCTTCCCCATTTACTTAAGCATGGTCTTTGATCAGTTTGCCCTGCTCTTATCTATCTAAGTGCCTACTCCAACATCCCCCCCCCCCCCAAGAGTTTGACACCCAATTTATTGGGGGATTATGGACGTAGACAATCATCTGGCTACTTCCTGCTGACAAACGGGCGAAGTTGGGATTGGGTCTCATTCTCTTGCTATCTGTCAGGGCAAAGCGTAAGGTTCTTGGAACCGTTGGCCAGCTTGATCAGGATGTTGAGCTATTTCTGCGGGGGTATTTGGAAAGGTTGAAAACACTGATGAACCGTTATCTGAGGTGGAATTGCTGTAATCTGGAAGAGACAAATTTTACAAGTAGGTTAAATGAACAGGGACCAAATAGTAGTATCCCTAGTATGATAAGGAGAGGGATTATAAGGGGTCCAAGGAGAGACCATACCAATTTTTCCAATTCTAAGCAAGTGAGGTTGCCAGTTAGGATTCTCTTAGGTTCTTTAACCAAGTTGTGTGGTTTAGAATCTCACGTATTCTTGTTTCTACTTTAGCGGAGTTATTGATGTAGGTGCAACATGTAGTATTTCGAATAGCGCAGACTCCTCCTTCTGCAGCTGAAAGATAGTCCAGGGCAATACGACTGTCTAAGCCTATATTGGTTAATGAGTTGAGGGACTGTTGTAGTTCATGGAGGGCTCCCCCTGTTTCACTTGAGAGCTTTTCTAATTCAGTTGTGAGATTAGGAAGGATGAATTCATGTTCCATGTATCCTGCCCAGGGGACAAGGGAAATAAAGGACTTTCTT